ATAAGAGTTAGTTGACTGATTTGAGTATATAAAAAAAATTAGTTAAGCTATTTATTTGTGATAAATAGGTGTTGTTTTTTTCAAAAATACTCTTGCTAATTATGTATATTAGTTAGAATTACATTTGATGAAACATTTAACATGTACAACTATTATAATGACTACCTTGAAAAATAATGAATAAATATGAGAGATAAAGTGAATTAGGGTCTTTTATTTAGAGCTAAATTAAATGTCCAACTAGCTCCTATATTAAAGATTAGAGGTAGTACTAGTTTACTGGTTATTCTAATTATTAGGATTACTTGATAAATTTTTAGAGAAAACCGTTAACTAAGATAATTTACTCAATTGTTGTTTGTTTTAACCATTAGGTACTCCTTCTGATCTTTTTTATAAGAGCCAGATAATCAAATTATACTATTTAAGAAAATAGTTAAAATGAGTTAAAAATAGTATAATTACATAAGAAATGAAACTTTTTTTACCAAGCATACCTTGATTTATAAAGTGGCAAGTAAGAGAGGGAATGTATGAAAGAGAATGTAATATGCAAAGATGTTAACATTTTAATTAATGCAATATATAAAATTAATTAGTGACAAAAAAGATAAAAAACATTAAATATTCAGATAACCACAAAACATATCCTCACGAAGCTTAAATTTTTTTATGTGCCTAAAATCACCATACAATACTGAACAAGAATAATTTTGTAGCAAAATAGCACTCAGAATCCACACAATAGCTTTAAACTATGGTAATGGGGTTCTAATATCCCAAAGCAACTACAAAGCTTAGAATGAAAAAAATAGTAATAAATTTTATCATAGTACTCTTCTGATCCGAAATGTAAAATGCATATTGTAATGTAATTTTACACTACAAAAATTTTATATCTATGACTGGAGGAGTAATAAATATTATATAGTCTATGAGTGGCGGATTCAGCTTCAATATTAAGGGGGCCATATTTTCAATATCAATACACATATACAGATTTATTTATACATTTATTCATTTTTAATATCTATTTTTATATAAGAAGTTATATATATATATATATCTCTTATGTAAACTTTTTATCCAAAAATGTATTGCCACTAACCCAAGGGCCAAGGGGCACAGTCGAATCCTAACACCACAAGCGGCAACGAGGCGTCCGTGGCGATATTACGTTCGTGTGATACGGTACCAATGGTAAACCAACATTGCGCTGCTTTGCCGACAACTTTGAAATTTATTTACAAGTTTGACCCCTACTAGTAATTTTAAGGATTAGCTCTACTCGATTGATCAATTTAAAAAGATTTTAAAAAAACTAAATAAATAATTTAATTATGTTATATGTTATTATAGTTTCACTAAAATGTTTATGTGTATTATGTTTATAAGTCAAGCAAATTAGTTAAAAATAAATAAATGTAAATTCTTTAAAATAATTCATTTAGTTTTCTTAATTTCTCCAAATTAATCAACTAGATCTTATATATGTTAAATACTATCTCTCGTTCTTAATATAAGATATAGATAACTAATTTAGAGATATTAAAAAAGTTATTAAATTACTTAATTGTAATGTATATTACATGACCTCTCTAAAATACTTATAAATACAAATTTATAAATGAGACAAATTAGTTTAGAAAAAACTATAAATATAAATACTTTAAATAATTTAATAGCTTCCTTAATCTTTCTAAATTATTCAACCAGGTAGTACATGTCTTTTTAAATCTAATAAAAAGACGCTGCTTCGCTATGTACCATGAGATACAACACAGCATATGCATTTGACATATACACACACCACAAAAAAGGGGAGCATGTTTCAAAGTTAATTACAGGAAGCATTTTAAATCAGGAGATTTGAATTAGGTTGCCCATCTTGTCCAATTAATTTTTGATTAAATTTGTCCACAAAAATCACAAAACATAGCCAAGCTACGTGGATCCAAGTAGAGTCGGGAAAACGTGCCGAGCCCGTCAGGCCGGCCCGTTTAGACCCTGAAATTATGAGGGTCGGACTTGATATTCTTCTCTTAAAATGGAAAATAAGCCCTGGAGGGCCGAGGGCTTAAAAGGGCCAGCCCTGGAGGGTCGCGGGCCGGCCCTTTTAAGTCCTTTTATAATTTTTTTTATTTTTTAAATTTTTTTATATAATTTTAATGTTATTAATTTTTTACATTGTTAATAATATTTCAAATATTTAGTTATTATTATCATTTTAAAATTAAATTTAGTTTTAGACAATAATTTATCCAATTAAATTTTTTTAAAATGGGTTAATTTGGACTTTAATAATGATTTGATTTATATTATATGCGTTGATATTTTTAAACTATATATATTTGATAATAGAATATTTTTATACTTATATAACTTGTGATTCTATAATTTGAATTAGAAATTCATGAGTTTCAACAACAATATTTCTCACATTAAAGTAAAATAATAGTTAGATTGCAAAATTTAAAAATAAAATTCTTATAAAGAAGAAAAACTTGATATTTTTGTTACGAAAGAAAAGCATACTTATGAAGAAAAGTAATTAATTATAGTGATGATGAAGTTTCAAAAGATTAATGATAGTGTTTATTTATTGCACAATTGCATTATAGATAAAACTTTTAGATGTTGTTATCTTGTTAATGAATGTTTTAGATGTTCTTAGATGTTGATGAATATTTATATATGATGATATTTTATATTTGTGACTTAATTTTATTTATATTTATGTCTTTTATTAATAATTTCATTGGTTTATTTTTATATTTTTATAAAAAATATGATAAATATAAAAAATGGTATTTTTTCTTAAACGGGCCAAAAACCCGCGAGCCGGCCCTGGCCCTATAGCTTAAGGGTCGGGCCTAACAAATTGAGATATTTTTAAAATTTCAACCCTGGAAGGCCGGCCCTTTTAAACCCGTCAGCTCTGAAGGGCCGACCCTGATTCCCAGCTCTAGATTCAAGTCACAAATTCTTAGGGTCCCAGAGAGGAGAGGGAAAAAAACACATTCATGTTGACCATATCCAATCCAAATCAGATCTAATAACTTTTTTTTGAATATTTCCTTTACTCTAATTACTTTTTAAAATTTCAACTTCCTGCACATTACTAATTTACGTCATGTCATATGTGACTATGATTCTATTAATTAGAAGAATTAAATGTTTCGAACGCATATGATAATATAAATACTCTCTTCCAGCCCTATTTATAAGATTCTACACCCACTGATTTTTAATATAAGATCCTTTGCAACATTTAATGAAATATGCATAACAAACATTGGCTGTTTTATTCTCCTCATCTATTTCCCTCCAATTATTTATACTAAACAAGTGATTGTCTTGAAAAGTTGTTTAAACTTTTGACATTTACCTACTTTTAATTATTTTTTCAATCTCAAAAAATATTTTCCCAAACAATAATAAAACTCGGGTTTGGGCTTGAACGATGAATATGGAACAAATGGTCTTGCCTTAGCTAGGATTTTCAGAACCCCACCTCAGTTCCCCTACAACTTTTCTCTGTCACACATTCTTCCATCCCCTTATTATGAAATCTTTTCAAATAGTTCTTAATAAAAAAACTTTTTATTTATAAGATTGATTTTTATAAATATATTTTGCTTCATCTCCAACTAACTAAGCAATCCCATAATTTAGAGTAACTAAACAATATCCTCTAGTTAATAAACTTTATTGACATGAATTTTGATATTTTAAAAGTGGTAATTAATTTTAAAAGATTCTTTAATAAATTCATGCAACTACGAACTTTTTTAATTTAAATGTATTAATAGAAAGACCAGAGCAAGTAGACGAGGGAACCAGTATCGTGGTGAAATTTACACCATTTAAATATAGTTTTAATAGTCTAGATTTAAAATTTTTAACTAATTATTTTTAAATAAAATTAATATTTGAAAGAAAAAACAGTTAAAAGATTATTATTTTTATTCTAGATTTTATACACATTAAAATAATTTGTTTCAAAATATATAAAAGAAAAAATTAAATCTGAATCATTCGGATTAAATTTAGATGGTCTAGATTTTAGTACTTATCACTGAAACTAAATCCAAATAGATAAGTCCCTTTTAATAATTGTGGAAAACAAAAAGGGAATTAACCCAACACACCGCCTAATTAAATTGGCCAGAGACCTACATTATTTATAGTTTAAGCAATGGTAAATATTTTATTAATTTATCGAAAAATTCATCTTAATACTTGGTCTTGAAATCATGTAAATAGTTGTTAAAATTTGACTAATTATGGTGATATAAAATTATTTTTATTATCTAATTTACATATAGTCTTAAATTTGTTTACATTTGCCCCATATTTTGCTTTAGAATTTGTTCCTAATGATGTATTTTATTGATTACATTTGATGTATTTATCCTAGTATTTCATTTGAATTATGTATATGCGACATAATTGAATGCATTGAAAAACCACATTGTTATCAGCTTTCAAAACCATTAAAATTTTGAATTATTTTAAATATTCTTTCTAATTTTTTGTTAACTTTTATAATATATATTGGCTATATATTTTTGTCCAACATAATTTCCTTTATTATATATGACATAAAAAAATATTTTGAAGGTTACTAAAATAACATTGTGTGTTTATTATTTTAAAAGAAATTTTGGCCTTTCACCCTATAGATGTAATATGCATAGATGCTTAGAGACAAACGCATTTGTGTCAAATACATGACACACACACACACACACACACACACGATATGGCATGCATGTTGTACTTATGGATATGTATATCTATATGCACTTTTATATATATTGCTTTTGGTGGTAAAATAAGTCTTTTTTAGGTTTTTAATTTGGATGGGGTGTGTGTGTGTGTGTGTGTGTGATGCTTTTGCGTTTTTTTCAACCCTATGATCACCGTGATGAGTGGGGATAAGACAAGCTTTTCTATATATATGAGTTATGAGTACATCAAGCATAAGCGTTGAATTAATGGAGAAGATCAACTCAGAAGTGAGGAAAGGTGCCTGGACCCAAGAGGAGGACAATCTTCTCAGAACTTGCGTTCAAAAGTATGGCGAGGGAAAGTGGAATCTGGTTCCTCAAAGAGCTGGTATATGCGCTCACACAGATACTAATAATTAATACGACCAACCTTTAAAAACACACACACACAGAGGGCTCAATATATAAATATGGTGTGCATTAATTGCAGGTTTGAAGAGATGCAGGAAAAGTTGTAGAATAAGGTGGTTGAATTACCTGAAACCCAACATCAACAGAGGAAACTTCACGGAAGACGAGGTTGATATAATTGAAAGGTTCCATAAGCTTCTCGGCAACAGGTACGCATCTTCTTCTCACCTGCGTGTGTTTGTGTATTATATATCTTCTTCGTTGTCATGCAACTCAATTAATTAATTAATTAGTTAGTTGTAAACTAAGACCTCTTTTCTTCACTGTTGAAACTTTCATTTGTCTTTTCTTCACTGTTGAAACTTTCATTTGTAAATAGATGGTCTTTGATAGCCGGGAGGCTACCGGGAAGAACAGCGAATGACGTGAAGAACTTCTGGCACACCAAAATGCGCAGTAAGAGAGAAGAAAATCAGAGGAAGAAAGCAAAAGATCAGGTGAAGATGGCAGAGGAGAAAACGAAAGTAACACGGCACGTAGTAATAAAACCTCGACCTCATACTTTCTCTGAGAATTCGCCATGGCTGAGGAAGAATAAGAATAAACTTGTTTCTGCATGTGAAAGTGGTGATACCAATAAGGCTTCTGCCAGTTCTGCACGGCCATGCCCTCCTGCCGATTCTAGTAAGAGCGCCGAGTCAGACGAGTGGTGGGAGAGTTTACTGAACAAGGAAGGAGATGAGGGGCAAGAGGGGAATTCTATGATGGAGTTTTTTGACCCAGACTTTCTCAAGATGGAGGGTCTCCACAGTTGGTGGGGTCACTGTATATGAAATTCTAACCATTGTGATCCTCCGGTTCCCTTGTTTAGCCCTTAAGGTAATTACAATAACATCACTACTGGAAAAAAAAAAACCCTTTTGACACCTCCTAATCTACACTATTTACAACAGCAACGGTGTAAAAAATATGATGGGTGATATTTTTGTAAATATTAATAGATTTTTAAAATCGGTTCCGTACACATCAAGTGCAAAATATACTTTTTACACCGGTTGTTTGTCTAACCAATATAAATCATATTAAAAATATATTTTTAAAAATAACATTTACAATTTTTTAGACTGGCTCCATATACAATTGGTCTAAAATATATTTTCTACACAGGATATCTATTACAATCAGCATAAAAGGTTTAAAAAATATTTTTAAAAAAAATAATATTTACAAGGTTTCATAAGGTAATTTAAAATCTAAACCAAACTTTATTTTCTTGTAATCTCCTTGTTATATTTCACTCACCAATAACCTCAATGCTAGTCCTCTTTTTCATACTCTTATCTATACATGGACATCTTCTTCATGCTCATCTCCTTTGCAATGCATAATCTTTTCCGTACTCATCACTTTTTTAGGTTTATTGACTTCTCCATGATCGTCAAGTAGAGATCCATGCTCATACCATCCAGATCTGTGCTCATGGCATTAAAATTTGTGCTCATACCATCCAGATCTGTGCTATCTCAAGCTCTATTGTGTTGTCATCTAAATACTTATATTTGCCTAGGTCTATACTTGTCTTCATCATCACCGTATTTATTTTAAGTTTATACTCTTTCTCTATTTGTGTGTTTAATGAATAATTTCAAACTTTGTTTGTTAAATATATTTTTATCATATGAATTAATATGAATCGATATCATTTCTAGCAAATTTAGCTAGTTTTTTTTTAACATCTCATTAGATCTGATTGTTTTTACTCTTATACTATTTCTTATTTATTGGATTATTGGATTATTTTTTGCCATGTTATAAGATCTAATAAAACCTCAGAAGAAGCACCGATTAAATCGTATGGATTTTTATTAGATCTTATAAAATTCAAGATCTTTTTCCCTTTTTTAATTTTATTTTTTAGACTGGTTAGAATAATGATCGGTCTTAAAAGTAACATTTTTCACATCGGTTTCACAAACGATGTAAAAAGAATGGGGCTTTTAATATCAGTTGTTTCTACACCGATAGAACATAAAATTCAGCTTTTGAGCTAGTGTTAGTAGTAGATTAATGACTAGCTGCTTCACTTTAAGAAATTAATTAACAATTTTTGGTTGCATGAAATAATAATAACAATTTCATCAGCGGCAACTAATTTTCTAAAATTCGGGTTCTAGGTTTCTAAATGTTAGTAGATTATTGACCACTTTATTTTAAGAAATCAAAACTTCAGTTGTATGCATGAAATAACAATAACAATTTCCTAAGTGACAACTAGCTACTCCATTGAAATTCCACTTCTGAAATTTTTAAAAATGTTAATAAATCAAACCTACGACTACTTCACTTCAAGAAATAACAACTTTAGTTATATGAAATAATAATAATAATAATTTCAAAAATGATAATGACCCTCTTGATATTTAACTTCTAGGTTTTTAGGTGCTGATTGATCAATGACAACTTCATTTTAAGAAATAGTTGTAACAATTTAGTTAATTAGATGAAATGACAGCAACATGACAACTCTAGAAGTCGGAAGTCGGGTTAAGCGGCTGCAATTAGAGCCTTTTTCTTTGTTTCTCCCTCTTCGCCTCTCCCAATTTCACCCCGGCTCCTTTTCATCTTCTTCCCCTTGTCCCTTTCATTTGGCTGGGTTTTGCGTGAAGGAAAACTTTCTTTCCACCTTGTTTTTTTGTCTGATTCAGATTTCCTATTCCTTTTTTGTAAAGGTCGTCTTATTATACTGGAAAACTGAGCCTAGTTTTTTTTTAGCTTTCCTCAGCCCTGTACTTTCGTTGTTTGGTTATTAGATCTGGTTCGTGTTTCACTTTTGTGGCAACCATGGAATGGGTAGCGCCATGATTATCTTTACCCAAATCCAGGCTGCTGTTATTGCTATAGTTTTTGTTTTGGTTCTATTTTTTGCGTCTTTGTTTCTTCTTGTCTTTTATTTACATATTTCCATAGCTGTTCGAGGTGGTTTGTGGGGTTTTTTTTTTGGGGGGGGGGGTTATAGTCGGGCTTCTGTAGTTTTTCATGCAAAGGAACGCACATCAGTCTGTGTATATCATTTTGCTTATTTTTAATAAAATTGTCTTACTATTAAAAAAAATGAAATTTCATTATTTGTAATTATTATATTATTCATGATTTTCATCTAAGCTCCTCAATTTTAAAATTAAAATAACGTAAGAATTTGAAAAATGATCAGATCTTGGATAATTTACAATTTAATTAGTTTATGGTATTTTTATCTATATACCTATATTTTTTTTTTGTTACTACACATCTTGTTTTTTCAATTTCTGATGTCTTCAAGTTATATTTTTAATTATATCTAAAATCATCAGGAGTTGGGTTTAGCAAAAGAAGTAGTCTCTCATAATGTGGTAAACCAAAGTTTCGAATTTTCGTTAGGAACAGTGCTTACATTTAGTGCCAACAGTACCTCGACCAGGATTGCCTCCAATAGAAGAATCCCATACTTATAACAATATATATCCTACCTTTAGTCCTTAATATAAGGGTTGATTAACTAGTTTGAGTAAATTAAAAAAATTATTAATTATTTATAATAAATAAATGTTGTCTTTCCTCAAATATCATTGCCATGTATATTAGCTAGAACTACTATTTGATGAAACCTTTAACATGTTATGATTATTTTTGAAAAAAATAGATAAATATGAGAGACAAGGTGAATTAGGATCTTATATTTATGACAAAATTAAAAATCAAACTATTTCTTATATTAAGAATAGGTTATAATACTCCCTCCGTCTCTAATTATAAGATCCCCTTTTTTGAATGAATTTGTCCCTTTTTATAAGGTCCCCTTTGAGTTTGTCTAAACATTTAATGCATTACTATACCTATTTTACTCCTAATAAATTTCATATATTACATTCTCTCTCTATTTATCTCATTATTACTCTCTTACATTTATTAGGGGTATATTTGGAAAAAAAAACTTGTATATGTTGCATGTTAATTACTTTTAACTGTTTTCTTAAAAAGCTTAATTTGGCCAAAAGTTTTTTATAATTAGTGACGGAGTAGTATAGCTAAGGCCTGTCGTGTTTTATTTGAATTTCGATAATTTATTTGATCTTTAATAAATGGTTTTATGAGGTCGTTAATCACGATTTATATATCATTAAAATGTCCTGATGTGGAGCCTACCGGAAAAGTTTGATTATTGGGTGTCAATGATGGCCATTATGCCTCGTTGAAAGCTGAACAAGCAAACTGTCGCTGCCACGTAGAACCAAACAAAACAGAGCAATCACAGCCATAATTGATCAAGAAGACGATGGGTGATCTACAGTCGTACGGTCTTATATGTGGGGGGGCCGGCCTCACACGAGATCGGAGGTCGATTCAATTCCTTTTCATGACTTTTCAGAGGGCCACACTTGTGCAAATGCAGCGAAGCCATCATTTTCAGTGCTTTTATGAGCTAACTTTGTCAGTGTAAGAGGGTGTTTGAGTAGAAAATAGAAATAAAGCTATGATTTTAAAAGTGTTTTTACGGTATACGAAATAAATATGAGGAGTTTATCTCAATTTATAAAAAAACACTTTTAAAAAATATTTTTTAGGTTTCTCTAACACCCCTTAGGACTAACCGCTGAAGATAATTGACTGTGCAAATTCCTAATTCGGCTCAGCCGGGCTTGTACACAATAGGGAAAATCCAAAAAAATCTATTTCTTGAATTGAAAAATATAAAATTAGTTTTTTTTACTATACTTTAATAGTAATTAACTAAATTTAAAAAACAAATGACAATACATGTTTGTAGTAATTTCTTATTTCGAATTTTAACTTTAAGAGATATCTTCTTTTTGGGAATTTTTACTATGTAATAACATCACAAAAAGAATCAAAATATGTATGTAGACTTCAACAACATTAAATCAATATGTATGCAATTAATGAGAGTTAGATTAATAAAGAGACTAGTCCATCATAATGCGATGAAGGATTTGAATTTCCATTGAAATAAGTATATATATTTAATGCTCAACAATGACTCGAACAAGATTACCTGCGATAAAAGGATACATATGTCTAGAAAAAAAACACAGAATCATTATTAATGAGGTTGTTTCTGCAAGTGACGGCGGTAATACTAGTGATAATGCGGCAATCATGTGAGATAGGGTACAGCAGAGCCATGTGCCGCTGATTTTATGCAGAGAGATCATCAGTCAGAAGAGTGGTGGAGAAGCTAGTTGAACAAGAAAGTAGATGATGAAGAACAAATGGGGAGAAATCTTGGGACGAAGACTATCGGAAAATGGAAGAAAGTCTATTTCGGGTTCTTCAGTTACTAATCATTTAGATTCTCGTTAGCTTTCAATGTAAATCATGTTTTGCCCAATCATATTTAACAGCCATTGCTCTAATATGAAATTTTGATGTTTACTTTTTTAGTACTCTTCCAGTCCTTAATATAAGACTCATTTAACTAATTTGATTAGATTAAAGAAGTTAGGTAAGTTAGTTAATTATAAGAAATGTGACACGTTTTTCCTAAAATACCATAATCATTTTTCTTAATTTCCCCTCTTCCTCTTCTACTTGATTATGGTTGAGGGAGTATCTATCAGAATAATTTAGAGAAAATTGATAAATATGAGAAATGGTCTTATATTTAGAACCAAAACCAACTCAACAATTAGGTCCTCTATTAAGGACCGGAGGAGTATTATTGTTTGTTTGTTTGTTATAGGAACTGATCAAAGTGGAGCACGCAAACTGCAAAATCAGCGTGGATGGATTTGTTATTGTTTTGTAGTGTTAAATATATGCAAGTGTGAAGATTGATTATGATAAAGACTAATGGGTTAAATTAATTAAGGACATAGATTAATTGGGATTGTGAGGAGTGTGTGCCCTTGTTCATGTTGGGAAGTATTACTATTTTCAGTGGTAATATGATGAGTTAAGCTTGCAGGCTCAACCTGCCAAGTGACAAGTTGAGTTGGCAAAATGCAAGCTCATCTTGAGACGGGCTTTTTCAGTTCATACTCACTAATTCTTAAGAGGTTAACTCATTTTAAAGCAAGTCTTTTAAGCCTGACCCGAATGGACTATAACTTGAGGCGGATTGGCCTGTAATTTGTAGCCAACCTGGATTACTCTGCCTAGTAATCACAATCAAGAGATGGATTGCAATCATTATATTGTCCAATGAAATGAATGAATGAAGGCGCACAACACTACAAAAAAACAGACTTTAGGCCATGACTTTCGACGGCGACACCAAAAAGTCGTCGCTGAAACTAAAACTTTCAGCGGCGACGAAAATGTCGCCGCTGAAAGTTCGCCATTGAAACCAAGACTTTCAGCGATGACCAAAGTGTCGCCGCCGAAAGTGGACCTTCAGCGGCGACTTTTTTAGTCGCCGCTAAAAGTTCGCCATTGAAACCAAGACTTTCAACGGCGACAAAAGTGTCGCCGCCGAAAGTGGACTTTCAGCGGCGACTTTTTAAGTCGCCGCTGAAAGTATAATATAATAATATATATTTTATTTTACAATATTAATAAACAAATTCAATTTGGCTCAGCGGCAAGAAGATTGGATACGAAAGGAGGCGGTCACGAGTTCGAACCTGGAAGAAGACACATTTAAGGTGAAAATATTTGGACAATGACGTGGTGAGGAGGAGTGATGTGGCAATGATGTGGAGGTGGCTAGTGATGATGTGGCGGTCGGCGGTGATGATGTGGTCACTGATGGCGATGACGTGGAGGTCGACGGTGATGACGTGGCACCGGCGGTGATGACGTGGCATTGGTAAAGCCAGTTCTTCTTAGGCATTACTTTCTATGACGACTTTTGTCATCGCCGAAAGCGTTTTCTACGGCGACTTTTTTGTCGCCGCTGAAAAGTCTTTTAGCGGCGACAAGAATGTCGCCGCCAAAAGTGTCTTAATGTCGCCGCTAAAAGACTTTTCAAATACTGATATCTTGATTTTTTTTGAAAGTTAAATTACAAAATAATTGGACTAAAATATTTTCATTTGAGAAATTTTTGTTGGCAAAGTTAAAAGTTATAGTGTCAACATGGATTCCAATAATTGTGAACAGATGAAAGGAAGATGAGAAGCATATGAAGAAAATTTTCCTTTCTCACCCCCGTTCCCTCACATTCTATCAGTAACAATGTTTTAAAAACCGGAGCGGAAGTTGAACCGAAAAAATCAACGGGTCATAGTTCCATCGGTCGGACCGGTGATGCAATAATTAATTCAAAATAATATTATATACATATAATTAATATATATGAAAAATATCAAATTGTTAAATAATTTAGAAACGCATTTAAATAATCTAAAATTATAATGAAATCATTGAAAATGAACTAAAACCTTATATATTTAAATTTATGTATGTTTAAAATATTTAATAATATTAAAAATTATTAATTCATTCAAATCAAAATATTGTTTTAAAATATAGATCGGACATCGACACAAAAAGGCTAGCGACTCACGATTTCAACATCACAATATATGAAATTTTCAATGAAATAATACTATATGGTTATAAATAGTCTAAAAATATATTAGGATTTTTAAGGGGGTCAATTTTTTTATTTTTCTTCTATTTTTTTATTTTTTAGTATTTTTTCAGTTAGGCTAAAAAACCGTTCGTTTTTCTGAAAACCGTTCTGGTTTTCGGTCCAACTCTGGGTTCCGGCTTAATGACGGCTCAACTTCGATCCAATCCGGCTCAACCATGTGAAGGGTTTTTTAGTCTAAACCAAGTCGCTAACAAGTTCGGCTAACAGTTCAACCAGTCCGACCGTCTGGTCCAGTCCAGTTCTTTAATCATTGATGAGTAAACCATCCAGCAAGAAGCCCATAGGAATTCAAAGTTGTGGTTAGGATGGCAATTTTACTTCAAGAATGCAACCGATGTCCAACAATTCATTAACGGTGTGATTTAAAAGTGGGAGGATTGGGGGTGACTATTGATGTGATGAGGGTGCGTACGTACGAGGTCTGCAATTTTATCCCCGTTTAGCTTCTTACAAAAAGGAAAACCCTAGCTAGGGCTAGCTAACCACTACGGCTATCTCTATGCCGAGACAGATTGTGAATTATTTCAAACCCTAGTCAATCTCCAGTTCCTCACAAAATAGAGCGTTTACGTTATTGGAGGAAAAACAATTTTTGGAAGACATGCTGGCTTTGAAAATGTTTTGGCAACTATTTAATTTGTCTGCCAGTGAATAATGCATAAAAGGTCTATTAATTGGAAAAACTGGTTAAAAATCCCCATCTAACAAATTAATTGAGAAATGAGATTTACAATAAATAAAATGGTCTGGGACTCTGGGGCTCTCAAGTGTCATTTAGTGTGAAAGAAAAAAAATTATATTGCCCTCACAAATACTAATTACATAAGACGGATCCTCATTTATATATCATAGATGTTCACTTGCATATTATGGATCCTCATTTGCATATGATGAATGCATACTTGCATATAGGTTTGTTGCGTAATACAGATGTTAATTGTATATAATTGATACTTACTTGTGCATGACGAATGTTCACTTGCATATAAGTTTATTGCATAATATGGATGTTCATTTGCATATGACTAATGGCTATGATGAATCCTCACTTGCATATAACTTAATGTACATGATAGATACTCATTTGTATATGACGGATGTCTACTTATATATAAGTTTATTGTATAATATGAATGCTCACTTACATATGATGGATTCCTGCTTGTACATAGATTCTTATTGTATGTCATTGTGTAATACAGATGCTAATTACATATAATAATAGATTCTCTCTTGCATCTGATGAGTGCCCATTTTGTATATGATAGATCTCTATTTGTATATGAGCTCTCATTGCATGTTATTGTGTAATACAAATGCTAATTGTATATATAGAACCTTACATGCATGTGACGATTTGAAACTAAGTGAGTTATGGGGGTAATTATTTGTAATGAGTCTAATTAGTGATGTGATGATGAGGATATACTTACGTACAGAAATCCCTAGCTATGAGGCAAACCCTAGAGCTGGCTAATCAATACGCCTAACCAATCAAGTCTCTGAGTTCAATCCTATTCTCAGTAGTTACTCTACCCAAAATTAAGCCAGACCGGGACTGGGCTTTTGATACTTCTTCCTGTTTAGGGGCTGAGTTTAGCTTCCGAAGCTGATACCCTATCGTACAAGTCAAGAACTTCTGCTTGTAAAATTCACGTGGCATCATAACAGTGATAATTGGTAACGGTTTGTCTGCGGTGAAGTTGCCAGGTAGAGAGGACCATGAAAATGCGTCACGGTGGGAACGTACGGCAGAAAGTGGACGGGAACACTCGTGTGAACTCAAAAGTAAAAGACAAAGACACTTGCGCTATGCTCTACTGCGTAGTTGTGGATCTCCATAAACTAGGAGATCGGAGGATACCACATATACAGAAGATGGGGGATTTCACCTTCTCGGATATGGTACATAACACAAGTATAATTTGTGCCCATATATGACAAAGAACAGAACAGTAACTCCGAGTGAAAGTGTCTTTTTCGGCTTCTTCCTTCTACCGTTAATGTGCTTGAAAATGGGTATCTAGCAATACGTTCTCTTATTCCGTTTTTATCCGACTAAATAGGTTCTCTTACTCTTACTCAAATGAGTGAAAATGTGTTCGAAACCTGAGCTCAGTTTTTTAATTAGGTTGTTTTTATAGGCCTGGCCTTTTCTTTTTAAAGGAGCTGAGGCCAACCCACGTCCTGAAATATTAGACTAGAAAACCTGTATTCCAACTCAATAACTTAGCATTCACTATACACAAAAGTAAAATTGTAGCACTTCATTTTTAGCAATCTGTAGCGTTTTCTAAGTGCTATATATGAAAGTGCTACGTTTTGCATAAAAACCAAGCTGTAGTGGTTTTCAAACTGCTCCAGAAGGCTTTTTTTTAATTAAAAAAAAATAACATCAGCTGCAGTGCTTCATGAGGGAATCGCTACAGCTTCAATTTTTAAATTAAAAAAATAAAATAAACCAGCTATAGTGCTTCCTATAGCTTTAATTTTTTTTTTTTTTAAAAAAATTAAATCCCATAGGCTTCTCCCTTTCGCAACATCAATTCCATTATCAGTTCATCACTAAACAACAACAACAACAAAAGGGGAAAGAATCAGGCTTCACCCATATGTCTCCCATTATATCATGTCTTCTGCAAAGTTTTCTCTACAGTGCTTTTAATTCTTGGATGAAGAAACTCAATCTTCATCACCATGACTTCAGCTTCTTCACTTCACTCCCAAACTCTACCCCCTCTGAAACACATTATGAAATTGAGGGGTTATATATATTTATGTCAACTAATTTAGGAGAAGGTAGAGCTAAAAGCAAACACAAACACTGATTCAAACAAACAACAATCGCAGCATTCCAGTTCCACACATACTTAAAAGGAAAAAAAAGATTGGACCTGCGAGAGAGGGAGAAGGATCGGATCTGAACTTGTGAGATCCATACATACAACAATCTTCTTGCAGGAGAGGAACTTGCGATACCGGGGGACAAAGATCAGACTTGCTAGATCTGGACTTGTGTGATACTGGGGCCGCCGCGCCGTGGGAGGGAGGTGAAAGAAGATGAAAGGGAAGAAAGAAGGGGCCGCCGTCATGCGGGGGGAAGGTGGGAGAAGACGAAGGGGGAGGGGGGCCATGTCATCACTGCTCAATTTGAAACATGTCACGGGTGTATGGGGAGGGTAGTGAGTGGCGGCAAGGAAGAAGAGAAAATGAAAAGTTAAAAACAATGGAGGGAAGGGGCATGCATTTTAGAATTAAAAAGAGAATGAGGTAGAAAGAGAGGCAGATAAAGTTTTATTGAGAGTAGGGTAGATGATATTTTTTTTAAAAAAAAACAATTACTATGACGTTTTCTTAAAAAAATTGCTACATAAAATATAATTTTAAAAAATATATATATACACTTTTGTAGTGCTTCCTTAATGAAGGGCTACAACAAGTATTCTTCATGTTGTAGCACTTCCTTCAAAAAGTGCTACAACTATATAATTTTTTTAAAATATAAGCGTTATAGCAAGTATCTCTTCTCTTGTAGTTTTTTTTAAGTAAACACTACAGGAGCTATTTATATATTATTTTTTTTAAGAAAAGGAGTTGTTGTAACATTTTTTTAAAGAAAGCACTGTAGCAAGTATCCCCTCTTCTATAGCGTTTTTCTAACCAAACGCTACATGAGCTATTTATATTTTTTTTTAAAGGAAAAGAGCTTCTGTAGTGCTTCATTAAGAAAGTGCTACAGCAAGTATCATCTAAATTGTAGCACTTTATTTAAAAAAGTGTTGCATAATATGCCTTTTTTTAAAATAAATTATTGAATATTAGCTGTGGTGTTTTGTTAATAAATACTACAAAACAGGCATTATAAATCAAATATTTTGTAGTAGTGATTCCACAGATGAGATACAGTTAGTGAGAGTGAGGATAGGTGAACATTATTGTAGGTTTATAGGAAGAAAGAAGAAAGTCATGAGACGAAAGCAAATTAAAAGAGGTGAATAAGTAAAACAGCACATCGTGAGGAAACCTCGGCCTCACACTTTCTCTGAGAATTTTGCCATGTCTGAGCTAGGAGAGGAATCATATCATAATAATAAAGCTCGTTTCTGCAAGTGGCGGTGGTGATACTAATATACAATAATAAAGCAGTAGTGATCATGTGAAAGAGGGTATAGCCGATGTGCTGCTGATTTTATGCAGGGAGATTATCAGGCAGAAGAGTGGTGGAGAAGCTTACTGAACAAGCAAGCAGATGATGAAGAGCAAATGGGGAGTTTCACCCCAGGGATTTTTGTGACCAAAGACTTTCTGAATATGGGAGGACAATGTCTATTAGAGGAAGGCCAGAGTTGTTGGAGTCACTGTTTGTATAGTATTATGTCCGATAATTAATATAAGACCTCGCTTGACTTTTATTTTAATCCTAAATATAAAACCCAATTATTTTGTCTCTCATATTTATTTATTTATTTTTAAGATAATCCTTCTAATGATGGTAGTTATAGGCTTATACCAAAGAAATTAATTAGTAAGAATATTTTAAGAAAGATAACACATATTTATTATAAATAACTAATTAACTTGTTTTCTTAATCTATTTAAATTAATAAACTAGTTTTTATATTTAGGACTGAAAATAGTAATAAGTAACCGTATTTTGTTTTAACTGTTATTTATCGAGCGATTTGTATTTGAAAATCTATAATAATATTAATTAAGGATGTAGATTAATCAGGACTGAGGAGTGAGTGCGCCGATTGTTGACGTTGTGAAGTTTATTATTGCTTTACTTTCGGATGTACCTGATAACAATAAAAAACGATGGATTGCAATCATTATTGTCGAATCAAATGAATGCAGGAAGGCGATATGTGTGGTGCAATTTGGCCTCTTGTTTTTGTGAAGGGACCCGATAATTAAATATAATCGTTCCCTTACCGTGGGACCGTGGAGCCCAAGCCCTCTCCACCACCCTGCACAGCATCATCTTTTATTTTCAACAAAATATAGTTTTAATTTCTGTTATTCCTTAAAAAGAAAATTAATTTCAAAAATTATATTATTAGTTAATTGTCTTATAGTATTTATTAGTAACATGAAAACTCTTCTGTAATAATAACTTAATAAGTCACAAATTGGTTTGTTATTACTACCTTTAGTACTGATTATAAGACTTCGTTTGTAATTTGTAAATAAGATTTTTTAATTAAGATCGGAGCTAGTAGTTATTAGTGCTTGCTTAGAATGATGGTAATATTTTGCAAAAGCAGTTTTTTAATTATAATTTATGGGATACGAGATAAATATATTAAAAAAAATATTTATCTCAAATTACATAAATAACTGCTTTTAGATGTCCAACTGTGATACAAATAAGCACTTAGGCTATTAGTATGTGTTTTTATATTAAAAAAAAAATATAATACTTTTTTATCCTATTTATAAGACGTTTCCAACATTTTTCACTAGATCAATGAAATCTTAAATGCATTAATTTCTCTTTAAAATATAACAATTTTTTAATTTTATCTCTATTTAAAATATACCTTTCAAAGGAATAGCCATCCACTACTCTAATCTTATATGTAAGTCACTTATGGGAAAAGGTTTTGGTCCTAAACGTCACTTATAGTATAGTTGATGTTTATTTTTTAAATTTAAGAAAATTAATTTGTTAGTCTTTATAATTTTACCCAATTTTAAATTCGGTTTTCATTTTTTTTTAATTAAGTCACTGTTGTGTGTTTAGTTACCGACGTGGCACACGTCTTCTTCCTCAGCTTCCCCAAAAAAATTCCGATCTCCTTCAGTGCGAACAGTGCTATTTCTTCCTCCATCATCGCCCTCTTTTTTCCTGCCTTTCTGAACCAAACCCCCACTCTCCTTGCTCGCTCCCCTTCATTCTCACTCTCTCTCCTTTCTCTCTCTCTCTCTCTCTGCTGCTTTCACCGGCATGAGAAACTTTTACTGGAGGGAACAAGGTTCTTGTTCGGCTTATACTGCGGACGTACTCCGAGGCTGCACACACACACCATTCATGAATTTAGGATTTGCGAGATAACCTGTACAGTATCTTTGATTTGGATTTAGGGTTTCGATGCTAGTGATCGAGGACCGGTTAATTACTAAATTCACCTTGCTGTAACCTTCACACGGTGGCGCACTGGCGCATCCTAAACAAGTTAATATTTTTGGAATGAAATATTACAAATGCCGAGGTTAAAGCTGAGGAATTGGGTAATAATGAAAATTACGTGAGGATGAATTCCACGTCACGGTTGAATTAAGGAAATGAAAAGCCATGAATATTTTTTTGCGAATATTTATTTAGTGAGAAGAGTATCTCACGACGGTGAAGGTAATAGAGGGAGAAAGGAAGGAGAGAGAGTAAGAATGGAAGCAGAGCGAGGAAGAAGGAGCGTGGGGGTGTGTTTCAAAAAGGCAGGCAAGAAAACGATGACGGTGGGGAGAGAACTAAAGAGTGTTCGCATCAAAGGAGACTGGACGAAGGATAGGAGGAGGAGGAAAATGTCTGCCACGTAACCTAAACTAACAGCGTCAGTCTACGGACTCTTGTGAATACTAAGGAATTGCTAAGATATAGTTTTAAAAATAATTTTACATGTAAATAAACAAAATACATATGTGAGAAGATGAGGATTTTATCTCAACATATATCAAAATAAAAATATCTTTAAAGTGCATTAAACACCCCCTAAGCATACAATAAGATCTTAATAAAAAGAAAAAATTATAAAAACCTGATTTCAAACTGCATAAAACTATAAAGCCTAAAAAATTAGTTTTTCTTTTAAATTTACCCGTATTCAATTCTAATTAAAAAGAAAGGGATATGAAAATAATTTGTATGAGTAGAGGAAAAAAATTTGTACAAAAATAAGTTACAAATTATTTATATGGGTTAATATAATTTTTAACCCTTTAAGTTTACCCTCATTTTAGTTTTAGTTCCTCAAGTTTTAAATTATAGGATTTCGTCCCTCAAAATTTTTTTCATTTATAATATTAGTCCTTATAATCTAATAAAAATATGGACCATTTTGTCCTTGTAGGGATCAAAACTCATGATTTGAAATTTAAGGACTAAAACCAAAATGAGGACAAATTTAAATAATCAAAGATTATATTAACCCAAAATATTAAAAACCAAAATAATAATGTTATAATAAATAAAAAATATATATTCATATTAAAAATTTAATAAATATAATTTATCTTAGTCATAATTATAAGATCTTGTTTATAGTTAATAAACAATATTTTATAATTAGGACAAGAGAAAATAAATAGAGAAAATTTTGTTTAAGGACCGCAATACAGAATTAATTTCAAAAAGCCCTCAAAACTTTCTGAAATTTTATTACAAAATCAAAGGAACAAAATGATATTAATTTTACAAAGAAAATGATGCTATTGTCCCTCATAATACTTATTACGGGGTGACATGTAAAAAAACTAATTCCAGTTGTAAATAAAGGTATATGTTGTAAATTGTCTAGTTCCACTTGCAAATGGGCTCTCTCACACTTGTTCACTCACGGACACCTTCTTCAAGTGGTAAGGGGACTGATTCCATTTGTAAATATATGTATGTTGCAAATTGTCTAATCCTACTTATAAATGGACTCTCCCACTTTTATTGTGAGGGACAATAACGTTATTTTCTTTATAGAATTAATATCAATTCATCCCTTTGATCTTACAGTAAAGTTTCAGAAAGTTTTAGGAGTTTTTTAAAATTAATTCTGTATTGTGGTTCTTAAATAAAATTTTTCCAAATAAATAAGAGTAAATAAAACAATTTCTCTGTACCTTATCAAAAGCTCGGGATACTAGTTTTTAATTAGTCAAACCAAAATAGGAGGCGTGGAGGCCGAGAGAAAAAGCCAACCGTGGGCCAATTACGGATCTATCACCATCGCCATTAATGAAGGGAGGATCCAACCCCCAGTGGGTAAGCCTTATTTTTCAGAAGTAAATAGCCTGCCTAATCTAGCCAAAACATATCACGAGATTCAATTCCTTTTTAATTTTATATAATTTTTTAACGAGGGCTCAAAAATCAGCATTCCTGCTAGCAAAAAACAAAAACAA